AAATGTGCTCTGAGGATCATGATAGACTCTCACACACACATATTTGCACACACGCTCACTCGGAGGCACGAATCACATGGTAAAGGCAATAATATTATTATACAAAACTCTTTAATGGATTAACAGAATACACATTGTGGGAGCCATCTGAGGATACCTGATAATAATCAGATTAAATTACCTGTTTAAAGGTCATATTAATTGTGGATATTTTCTAATATTCTTATCCTGATTGGGCTCACTTTCTCTCAGGGTTATTTTTTCATTATTATTTTGTTTTAGTTTTGTGTGTGTGTGTGTGTCTGTGTGGTAACCATAAGTTTGAAAATACAAATCTGGAAAGTTCATGGTTCCTTACAACAAAGAGGTGAGCCTATAAAAAAGTACAGACTTTAACTTTTAGAAGTGTCATTACTCAGTGAGAGTCTCAGGTGCTTTTCCACACAGCTGGCTATTCAAGTTCGCATACTTCTCAGATTGAAATTTGAAGTAAATCAAAGAGGAAAAAACTACTTGCAGATTTAATGACTGATTATTTGCATAAATTATTGTTATTAAAGAAACATGTCAGGCTGTAGCTGGATGAAAAGTTAATCTAAAAACACCCACAAGGTGCTGGGGAATCACAGCACACATGACAGCAAACACCAGAGCAAAACAGAAGAGAAAACCTGACACTATCAAAGTAAAACAGGAAACAACTGAAAGGCAGAAACAAAGCAGAGAGATGAGCAGACTCAGACTGGATGTAGAGACAGTGGAAAAAATGTGAGAGACTAAAATAAAAATGAAATAGAACCCAAAAAGTAATGACATTTCACCTGGACGTTCACAAAAAATGGGAACAGGATGCTCAAAGTCAAATGACCATGACATCAGAACCAAAACTGTAGGCAACAAGACTAAAAACTGAGGTCAACAATAAATACTTTTTATTTTTTCACTGTACCTTTTTGCACCATAAACTGTAGATCTATTTTTAAAACACTGAGGGGATGACCTCAAGTTAAGGACAAATTAATGGCGATGTCTCCCTTTTTTTCCCAAAAAAGTGGATAATCAAAAAAACAACCTGGAGAAAGAAACCGCTGATGGAAAACCTCTCACAAACTTATACTCCGTTAAAGTTCAGTCCAGCGTCTTTGAAGCTTTGAAATCTAGGACATGTTTGTCCGAGTCACAGTTTGGGACCACACAGATTGACTGACCAGGTGAACTCCTAATCATCTCAGCCAAGTGTGCCAGACAGTAGCTGTGGTTCAAAGGCTTATTCACAAAGCAGGAACTCCAGCAACACTTGAGGGAAGATGAACAACTTTAATAATAGACCAACGCGTTTCGGCTTGTGGCC